AGAACCCTAGCCCCGGAGTGCGCGTTCGCAGGGAAAGGGCCGTAAAGTAAACACGGGTCTCCGAGGGTTAGTCCGCGCTCCAGGTTTCCCCTAGCAGCGGAGCGCCCCCTCTACTCGGAGCTAATAAACACCAGACACGCACACGACGTACATCCTCACTCGACGTCACCCCTCGGGGCTTCTCCGTTCGGCCTCCCCCCCTCGGTCCGGAGGAGCCCTCCTATCCTCTCGGTCCTCCCTCCACTCGCTTTCCGCTGGTTGGGTTGGGCAACGGATGCGGGGCCCGGCTCCCCCTCCTAGCCTTTTTCGGCCGCGGCCCCGCCGCCGTCTCGCCCGCTCTGCCTGCTCCTGTTGACTCCGCCTCCGGCGATCCCGTGCCCGACTCCTCGGGCGGGCGAGGGCGGCGGCATTGGATCGCCACGCCGCCCCTCCCCGGGAGGTGGGGCCTGCTTCTCTTCGGTCGAGGAATCGCGCCCGCCCCCGCGGTCTCTCTATCGTCCTCGGCTCGTCCGTGCGTCCCGACTCCACTCGCAGAGGCCGCGTCAGCTCATCTCTCGCCTCCTCCGACGACTGACCCCTCGCAAAAAAAGCGCTTTTGGACGGCGAACTTCGACAAGGAGCGACCAGCGAAGGAGGCCCAGCGGCCATGGACTCGTCCCCGGACTCCACGCCGACCACGGCGTCGGCCATGGAGTCGGCCTCGCTCTCCAGCGGCAAGGAGCCGGCCGCGCGCGGCCGGCACTTCTTTCTGGCCACCGGCGACCCGTCCGACGGCCTTTACTCGGCGGTTTGGATCCTCGTCACGATCGCGTTCTGCGGGCTGTCCGCGGGCTTGGGCGGCGCGACCAACGGGTGGGAGCTGGGTCTGTACGCGCCGCTGTTCTCGCATGCCGTCCAGTGGCTTGTCTGCACTCTGCACGCGTTTCCGTACCAGACCGAGGTGATGGAGTGACTAGGTGATGGAGCCGTAACCATCATGGAGTGACACGTACGACTCGACACGTAGGTGTACTACGACTTGACGGGCTCCATCACGTATGCGCTCCTCGCCGTGGGCACCCTCAGCATCACGGCTGGGCGCACGCGGAGCGTGCACGCGAGGCAGCTGCTCGCGACAGCCTTTGTGCTCGTCTGGTGCACCAGGCTCGGCTCCTTCCTCTTCCAGCGTATCCGCCGCGACAGCAAAGATGGCCGCTTCGACTCGCTCAAGCCGTACTTCGTCGCCTTCTTCGGGACGTGGAACATCCAGGGTGCGTGGTGCTTCCTGACCGGGCTCGCCGTGTGGGCGGCCAACGCCCGCGACCCGGCGGAGCAGCCTGCGTTTGGCTGGCTCGACGGCGTCGGCGTCTGCGTCTGGTGCGTCGGCTTCGGGATCGAGGTGGTCGCCGACCGCCAAAAGGCGGCGTGGCGCGCGCTGCCGTCGTCCAAGGGGCGGTACATCGACGTCGGCCTGTGGCGCTACTCGCGCCACCCAAACTACTTTGGGGAGTGGCTGCTCTGGACGGGGCAGTTTGTGCTGTGTGCGAGCGCATTCGGCAGCGGCGACGCGACGGGCGCGTTCGTCGGCGCGGGCTTCCTGAGCGCCGCTTCGCCCGTCTTCGTCTACCTGCTGCTCAACTACGTCTCGGGCGTCCCGCTGCTCGAGAAGCGGAGCGACGAGCGGTGGGGCGGCGAGCAGGTGTACCTCGCGTACAAGCGGGAGACGTATGTCTTCTTCCTGCTGCCCACGCGGCGGACCGAGGCGAGCCGCCCGCTCCTCTGAGGGGGGTTGGCGTAGGTGGGTGACGCGGCTGGCGTGCAGGTGTATGGCGGCGTACAGGTGAGGCAGCGGCGGAGGTGTAGTCTGCACAGCGCACGGTGGTGGTCGTGAGGAGGAGTGCCTGAGCTGGTGGACCGTGTACGTGTACGATGTGCGGCCTTCGTTGTTTTTTCTTCAGCGTTTCGCCCGTTGGGCCCAAACCTGCATACCTGGCGAGTCCGACTTGGAGCACTTGAGTCTTGTAGACAGACCACGCCTCACTTTTTAGCTTTATTTCACATCGCGCACTGCACTGCTGAAGCCGCCACAGGCAAGCTTGTGCTGTGAATCCCGCGGAAAAGAATTTGCCTGCCATGAAGCACTCGACGAGCCTGTCAAGCCTTCCTCCGGACCTCCTCTCCTGCATCCTCGGCAACCTCGGACTCTGTGACCTGTACGCATGCGCCAAACTCTCACGCGCTCTGCGGCATTCGGCCAACGTCCGGCGAGACGCGTTGAGGCTGCTTGAGCCGTTTTCGTCCTTCGGCACACGCGGCAGTGGTCGGAGTCACCTGCACCACGCGAGCGCCCTGGCGCTTGCCGACGGCGATGGCTCCCTCCTCATCGGCGAGAAGGACCGCTTGCGGGTCGTCTGCCCCGACGGCGCGACCTTGGGCCTTTGGCAGGCGAGGAACGAGGGCGTGGAGTGGCTCTTTGCCACTCCGGAACGGCCCGTGTTGATGGCTCCCGGCGTGCTGATGCCAAACCCACGCGGCTCCACCGGCCCGTGCGGACTGGCCCTCCTGGCTTCCGGCGGCTCAGGCGGAGGCATGCCCTCGCGCTGGCCCGCCGGGCCGGAGCAGCACCTGTTTGTGAGCGACGCGGGCGCGGATCGAGTCTATAAGCTCCGACGCTGCGTGAGTGCTGCCGACGCCACCGTCGCTTGGGCGCTCGTGGGCAGTGTCGGCGGCTTTGGGGACCGACGGGACGCCTCTCGGGGCCTTCCCTGAAGCTTCGCAGAACCTTGCCTCTAGGCGGCTTCGGCACCGGCGAGGGGCGCCTCATGAGCCCGGGTGCGCTGGCGCTCGGCGAGGGTGACTCCACACTGCTCTACGTCGCAGAGGGCCACGCGGTGTCCGCCTTCGACGCCGGCACGCTCGCCTTCCGGTTCCGCTTCGGCCGCGACGCGGGCACCACGCCGCGCGGCGGCGCCGCTGCCGGCCATCTCAAGTCGCCCGACGGGCTGGTCGAGCACGGCGGAGAGGTGTATGTCGCGGACATGCTCAACCACCGCGTCCAGGTCTTCTCCGCCTCGGACGGACTCTTCCGCCGCTCCTTCGGGCGGCGGGGCAGCCGGCCGGGAGAGTACCGCCGGCCTTCCGCCGTCGCCGTCTGCAGGGGCCGCCTCCTCGTCGCCGAGTTCACGGGCAAGCGGGTGCAGGCCGTCTCGCCCGCCGACGGCACCCCGCTGCAGCTCCTCTGCCTGCATGCAGGGCCCGCGAGCGCGGCGATCCGGCTCGGCCCCTTCCTCGTCGACGAAAAGCGAGGGCGAGTCGTGGCGCCCGCGGCGGCGCCCGCCGCGCCGCTGCAGGTGTTCCACTTCGTGCCCCCCGTCGTGCGTGGTCCTCGGTGATGATGATGTGATCTTCGAAAAGAAGCACAAAATTGGGAGACGGACAGCGTCCCACGCATGTTTCCTTTTATCGCGACGGAGCTTCGGTCAGGGGACCACCGACCACCTCTCGAGGGGACCACACAGCAGGGCGGGGGACACATGTCCCTAAAAATCCCATCTCGTCTCAGAGTTTGTGACCGTTTTTATTTATTTATCGGTCAATTCGAGATAAAATTCTTGTATGTCAGTGCCCCAGTGCGCGCCAGTCCCGTGCCCAGTGTCGTGCGAGGGAGTTAATTTGTAAAATTCTTTTCGTGCTTACACCGGAGTCGCTTAGGCGGCTCCGGTGGTTTGCCTGTGATAGTGCTACCTAGGTAGGAGCACGCGCCAGTCCGCACCTGTGTCGAGCCTGAAAGAAAGAAAACAGACAAGCCAAGGGAGGGATGGGAGGACGGTGTCGAGCCGAATAAATAAATAAAACGCTAAACGGACATCCCAAGCTACCGACTATGGAGGACCCGTCGCCAGACGACGCAGGGCAGAAGACGGTGAGGCGCAGCAGACGCGCAGGGCGAGACGAGGGAGGGAGCAGGACTTTGCGGAGATCAGCAGGAGGATGTACGAAGAGATTAGGAGCAGCAGGGACCCGAGGGACCATGTGGAAGACGGCTAGTGCTAGCCCCCCATCGGGAGGACGACCCCGGCTAGTCGCCGACCACACCCACAAAGAAACTTACAAAGAACCCTGCACAAAGATCGCAAGGGCGGGGGCCTGTTCCTTTTTACCCATCTCACAGTCTAGAGAGGTGTCCGTTTTTATTTATTTATCCCAAGCTAGGGCTGGGTCGAGGACAGACACGTCCCCCCAACCTTTGCAGGATTTTGCAAAAGCGAGGGGGGAGGGCGCATCGCCGCGCGGAGAGGGCTGGGCACAGGGCACAGGGGATCTCTCTCGCATAGGATACACACTCGGCGGCACGAGGGCAGGGCTGGGCGTCCTATTTGTGCTCCCCCCTGGATGGACCCCTGGCTCGTTGGCACTATCCATATAAAAATAGAAAACCTCCAGAAAGAAAGAAAGAAAACAGACAACCCAAGGGAGGGATGGGAGGACGGCACGCCGCCACCACACAGGGATTTTAAGGAGAGGTGTGTGGTGCGAAAAATGGTGATAGCCATGTTAAATTCTTTTCGCTGGTAAAATTCTTTTTCTAGCGGCGCCCGCATGCTGAGTACAGCTCCAGGAGGCCTCGCCGGAATCCCGCTGCGAAGTGTGCTGCGCGGTGCGTGCTGCCGCCCGAGGTACTTGAACCGTCCGGCATGTCGTGGCGCGACGACGATCCGATCGGCTTCGCGTACATCCTCTGCCTTGGCGTCACCGTCGGCCTTCAGCTCGCATGCTTCGCCGTCGCGGCGGCGCTTCAGTTCGACAAGATCACGGATCTGGCGGGCAGCCTGAACTTTGTCGTGCTGGCCGTGCTGACGCTGCTCCTTGCGGAGGACATTGGCGCGCGCCAGATTGTTGTGAGCTGCCTCGTGGCCGTCTCGCGGACAGAGCTCGCCGCCTTCCTGCTCTACCGCGTGCTTCAGCGCGGCAAGGACGCCAGGTTCGACACCGTGAGGGAGCGGCCGCTCGTCTTCCTGATCTTCTGGGTCTGGCAAATGCTCTGGGTGTTCGTCGTTTCATCTTCGGTCATCTTCATCAATTCAGCGGGCCACCTCGCCTCGCCCACCCTTTCGGCGGCGGATTACGTCGGTTGGGCTCTCTTTGGCTTGGGCTTTGCGGTTCAGGTCGTCGCAGACGTGCAAAAGTATCTCTTCCGGGCAGACCAGGCCAACCGCCGTCGTGTGTGCGACCGCGGGCTGTGGCGCTTCTCCCGCCACCCCAACTTCTGCGGCGAGGTGCTGCTGTGGATAGGCGTCTACGTGGCAGGGGCGCCGGTCTTTCGTGCCGCTCCCGCCGGCTGGTGGACGGTCGCCTCTCCTCTCTTCACGCTCGCGGTGTTAACGCTCTTCACGGGAATCCCGCAAGCAGAGGGGCAGAACGCGGTGCGATGGTACGATGGCGGCGAGGCGCAGGCGCAGTACGAGGTCTACTTTGAGAGGACGCCACCACTGTGGCTGCTGCCGCCACAGCTGTACCGGCTGCTGCCGCGTCGCGCCAAGCTGCTGCTCTGCTGCGAGCTCCCTCTGTACGCGTACCGTCCCTCGAGCGAGCCGGTCGGAGGACGGTCGGCGAGCAGTGGTCTGGGGGAGCCGTTGTCCGCTCCCGACACGGAGGGCACGGACCACAGTTAAGAGCAGGTTCGTCGCACTCTCGTCTCTCTCCAGACTGTCTCTGTGCACACAACAAACAATCATATTTATTTGAACTCTTAACAATAACATGCGAATTGACGGTACACGTACAATAATGGACCTAGAAATCTTGAGAACTGGGGTTGCTCTCACAATGCCGATTGGGATTGCCGTGCACGCATCTCTCAAGCGTCAAGGCTCTACTGTGCCCCCAGACCTCACCATGAGGATGTCCGGCGGCTGCGAACGCATCACCCGTGCGCGGCGGACGAGGAGATACACGAGCAGGATGGTCAGCGGGACGGCCACCCCCAGCCCAACGCCGAGCGCAACAGCGAGGTCGGTGTCGTCATCGTCGAACAAGCCTAAGCGCGGAGGAGGACTTGGTTAGCCCGTTCTCGGCATTCCAAGGCTCGAAGTGGGTGGCCGGGCTGCGCGAACGAACCCCAGTCGTCGTCGTCCCCTCCCCCGCCTCCCCCACTGCTCTCGTCGTCGTCGACTCCTCCAGACGCGCCGCTGCTCCCGTCCACAAACTCTCTGTACTTTTCGCTCGGCAACGCGCCGCTTTGATGGGTCCCCTGCATTGCGTTCCCGATGGCACCCAGCCATGGGCCCCGTGTCGCAACAATAGCTTGCAGGACGGCGCCTGCGCCCTGCGACCAAACGTCCTGGCCGTAATGGGGGACACTCGGCTCCAGATTGTCCCCACACACAAAGTCCACTGCCACCCCTGCCTCCTGCAGCTCTCCGAACGCCCCGTTACCGAGCGCAATCACAAACGGGTGAGAAGCTGCCGCGGCCTCGCTGCGTATGTCATCGGCTGAAGTGTAGCGGGCGCTTTCAACACCCATTGCTGACGACCTGTGGGAGATGCCCTCGTACCGGCTAGCGATTCCTGAGTTCGATCTCTCTCCGGGGCTCTGGTAGACGAGCACACGCAGGACCGAGGCGAGATCCTCCGGCATTTCTCCGGGCGCAGCGCTACCGGACAGCTGGCTGATGCCGCTCCCCATGGGGGCCAGGCCACACTGGCGCCCCATGATGAAGTTGTGCGGTCCGACGTACGATAAAATGCGCGGGTTGTGGTAGCCATCGGTGTTCGCGGTCACGATTGGCACCGTCGGCCGCTGGTCGAGGCAGCTCTCGATGGCTGCGTGCACCTCCTCGTACCCCGCGTTGGATTGGTACGGGACCGTCACCACGATTGCATCGGACAACGCACAAGCCTCTTCTATGGCAGCGGCGTGAGCAGTCGGATCGTACCCCGTGGAGTTCCAGCGCACGGTAAATTCTTCGGCGGCGGACCGTGCCGCCTGCTCCCACTTAGCCCAAAACTCCGTTGTGCCCGGGTAGGCATGCGTGATCACGGATAGCGTGGGCGCACATGGCAGCGGCGCGTATGGCTGCACTCTGCTGTGGCTAGCGAAGAGCTCACCACTCTCAGTTGAGACGACACCGACCGCATCGACCGAGCCAAGCGATGCGTACAGCAGCCCGGTGGCTTGGAGGCCCTGCGCGTAGACAGTCTGCCCGTAGTAGGCAAGCTCCCCGCGGTCCTATTGTAGAGAAAGGTGTCAGCCTCGGTGTGTGGGTGCGCATCCCGCAAAGAGCGCGGCGGCAGCGTGCGTGCGTGCGTGCGCCTGATCGTCGCCACATTGAAGATCCACACCGACGCCAGCTTTTGTCAGGTTCGCCGCGGCGCCCACACCGAGGGCAATCACGTAGTTGCTCGAGGAGACGGTGCTGGGGTCGCTTGTCACAGAAACTACGCCGCGATCGCCGATGGCGTCCACAATGCCTTTCTTCCTCTGCTCGATTCCGTAGTTGGACAGCTCTTCCGGCTGCCAGTAAATCTCGACGGGCTTGGTGGGGGTGGCTCCGGCATCCACCCGGTCGCGGACCGCCGCGTCGAGGTCGTCGCTGAGGGCAATTCGACCGCACACCCCGCCCTGGTCATAGTTGGCTGAGCCAACGTATCCGTCCCACGATGGTTTGAGTCGTCCAGTAAGGAACTTCACCCCAAAGTTGAGAGCGGTGTCGGTGTTGGCGAGAAGGAACTTCAAGTCGGGCCTAGCGGCTGAGCAGCGGTTGATTGCATTGGCGATGGGCTGCCGTTCTTCGGTGGTCGAGTACGGGATGGTCAGCACGACTCCATCGGCCTGCTCGCACGCCTACCGCGAGAGACAGAAGGGTCGTTGTCCAACGTAATATCGACCTATGTCGCACTTGCTACGCCGTACACCTCGTCGATGGCGGTCACGGTCGCTTGAATATCGTACCCCATCATCATGTAGGTTAGGGAGGAGGAGCACGTTGGCAGCGCCTGTGGAACAGCAGGGAAGCGTGAGGAATGGACAGCGCCACTCTCCCCCCCGCAGCGCTGCACGACCTTCGCCGCACCAGCGCCAAACGTCACCCAGAAGGGGTTGTCAGCGTGCCCGTGAACGATGGCGTAAATCCTTGCTGTGATGTCGACGTCAGCACAACATCGGGTGGGATCTGGGTCTCGAGGCATGTGTGTCTCCTAATCGAACCCGGCGGCAACGGTAGGTAGTTTTAGCTTAACGGTCTACCATACCATACACACCACACTTTTAGCTTACTGGGAGAAAGGAGGGGGGGGGAGGGGGTTGCGTTCAGCGCGCATGCAGTAGCAAAATGCGGGGAGACAGACGGGCGGGCGGGTGCCCGGACCGATCGAGGTTCTCGAGGTTCTCGCCCAGTGTCGTGCGAGGGAGTTTTGTTGTAAATTTCTCGAGGTGGATATATATCCTTTGGCCGCGTTGGGTAGCGAGGATTGGTGTGACGCGATCCACGCAGGCGTGTTTTCTGTGACGGCCGACCGTCAGTGCACGGAGTTGCCCCTCCCTTCTCCGACTGCCCCGGCTAGTTCGAGGGTCTCGCGGGAGTGATCCCATGCGTCAAACCCGAGACCTGGCGCGGGTGGGTTGGAGCGGGCTCGCTGCATGCAAGTGCAACAAACAAGGAAGGGCTGTGTAAGTAAGAAGCCGATCCCCGTCAGTTGCTCTGTTTTGTTTTTTCCGCCAGCGGTGTGCCCTCACTCTCTCCGCCACCAAGCCCCGCTGCCCAAAGAGTGAAAAAAGTACAATGTTTGAGTCCGCCGACGCCGCCGCCGGCGAGGAGACGGAGAAGCGGGTCCGCGCTCTGACGGAGAAGGCGGCGCGATCCAAGCTCATCGCCCGCCAGCGGCTTGGCGACCTCACGCAAAAGCATCGGCATGTCTCTCTCGAGCTGCGCCACCTCGAACTGCGTGGGTACCGCGCGGGCGAAAAGCGCGGCCGCGGGGACGATGCGGCGCCGGCTCCGCTGGCGAGCGAGCCGGCCGACGCGACCGCGACCGACGGCGGCGACGGCGGAGGCAAAGCGGCCGACGCCACACCGATGGACACAAAGGAGGAGGGCGACGCCCCGCGGAAGCGAACGCGGCACGCGGGCGACTCGGAGCGATCCGAGGGGGGCGAGGCTGGCTCGAGGGGCCGAGCGGATGGCGAGGCGGGCTCGAGGGAGCACAAGGAGCG